TTTCTGTTGGCCCACCCCTCTTTTTTGGTACTGCTCTGTGACGTCCCTACAGTACATGATCTCCGATCTGTTCCCTGTGTCCTTCAATGAACGGGAGAGAAAATAGGATTTTGGTACTCACCGTAAAATCCTTTTCTCTCCGTTCATTGAAGGACACAGGGCCCGCCCCTCTATGTGGGTGTGTACTCCTTTACTGCTTGTTACTAAACTGGAGACTTCTCAGTAGGTGGGGGGTTTGGCCACCGGCAGGGGCCGCCCCTAGGCTGTAATTGGTCTTTAGTTTTTTTGTGCCTAGCGTCCTTCTCCTGCAGGTGGCGATATTACCCTACAGTACATGATCTCCGATCTGTTCCCTGTGTCCTTCAATGAACGGAGAGAAAAGGATTTTACGGTGAGTACCAAAATCCTATTTTTTTCACAATTTGTGAGAAAGTGAACTTGCCCACATCACCTCCCTAGTCCCTGCTGCAACTTGAATGACTGAAGTCCCACGTCCCTGGTTCAAACCTGCTTCTCATTGGACCAATGAGTACTCGCCATTTGCGAACATTATGCAGGGCTGGGTACGAACCTCTACACCAGCTGGCATGTCAGTGCAGTGGGAGTTGGCGTGGGTAAGTAAATTTTTTCAAATTAGTGCCCTTACCCTTTTAAGCAAACATGTGCTTTGCCCATGCGAGGCAAAAAAAAGCCAGATTTGCTATAAGCCTCACTTTTCCTTAAAAGCACATACTCACATTCCCATCACTCCCCTACAGCTCCCTTCAGCAGCAGGGAATGAAAAAATATTCCTAGTACTTCTGGGTATTGAGGGGAATGTGACTCAAGAGAGTCTATAACCCTCTGCAAACTCTGTAAGCCAAACTAAGTTACTTGTAGCTTTTATCAGAATTGTAGGGTGGGAGTGTACAGGTTTACTTTAACCACTTTGCGTCTGGAGCAAATTTTAAATTGTTCACCCACACATTCAAATCTGCATTTATTGCTAGAAAAATGTTGCACAATATGTACAGGTCTATATTTTCAGGGGGAAAAAAAAGTAACATTTTGAATGCACACAAATATAATACAGAGTTTCTTGATCCAATATTAAAGATGCGGTTATGTTGAGTAAATAGATAACAAACATATCAAGCCTTAAAATAGTTTTAGTTTATGAAATGGTGGAAAACTGTAGTACCTGAAATTGTCCATAGGTGACATGTTAAAAGCCTTTATAGAAAGTCACTCACACACTCCAACTTGATTCTCAATGTTTTATTGACTATAGTTGTGTCACATTGTAAAGCGATGTTTCGGAACTGTGTGGTCCCTTCTTAAGGCAAACACAGATTTGCGGAGGCATCTGCAGTCACTTCAGCACCCACCCGAAATCTAAGGGTTTTATCCAGTCAGGAGTGCGATGGGACCTATTGAATATTAAAAAGTCTTTTATAGGTCATCAATTTAGAGTTGACAGCGAATCATGGATCAAGAATTAGTGGCCTGTAAAAGTGATCACATGGCTTTGCAGGCGCCTAAATCACTTTTTCTGGATAGCTGGATGCAGGCTGAAAAAAAAGATACTGAGCTTGTTTTAACCACTTGAAGTCCATGACACTTATAAACATCATATGACTATCAAGTCATTAAAGAAAAGCATCATAGAGTGCATTTCTGTAGATGCGAGGAAGAAAGTCTAAGGTTATGCTTACCTCACTAGCATACGTAAATAGAAAAGCTCCTTTAAAAAAAAGATTCATCCACATTGATGCTGCTGTCTAGCATGTTTATGGTCCCATAGAAACATTGACCCTGATCTGCAGAATGCAGGGAAGCTGGGAAATATCTAAAGACTATTTTGGGACCAAACACTTAATGCTTCTCAGCATGCTTAGAGCATAGTGTAGGAACTATGAAGCATGCTGGGTGGCAGGAGCCCTGTAGAGGAGCTAATGTACTGAGGGGTGCCATGGATGCAATTTACATCTTAGGATTATCGCCTCTGCATCAACAGACATACTTTACACCTAATGGAGCTTTTAAAAGGGTTAATAAATATAAATTGCAATCTGGTTTGTATAAAAGCGCTATTAATACCATCCTTTGTTTTGTAAATAAAAGATTCAGAAGCCTGTCATATAATTGGGTAACAATATTTTCATATAAGCAAACTAGACCTTCGTTACACTGTAATGGCCAATGGCACAGAACAACAGGGAAGTAAAATGCATTGACGTATATATATCAGGGGTCAGCAACCTTAAACAATCAAAGAGCCATTTGGACCCGTTACCCACAAAAAAAAAAAAACACCGGGAGCCACAAAACCCTTTTGACATCTAAAAGGAAGATAACACTGCATATATCGTTTTCTATCTTTATGCTATGTATAGCATGTATATAGGTATATGTGGGCTTCGTAACGCACTGGACTCAGGGCTTCCCTGGGACCCCGCAGAGCCCACCCGAGAGAGACCCTGCAGAGCACACCATAGACCCGGCACTGCCTCATATTCCACCGGGGGGTGCCCAGGACCGGACCTCACTGGGCCCCCCACAGCCTCAGGCCCGGAGGCCCTTGTGGTAGTTTTACCCCTGGACAGGGAGCCACAGCAGAGGGATGAAAGAGCCACATGCCGCAGGTTGCTGACACCTGACATATATCAATATTTTGTTACATATTTATGAATGCTATTTACAATAAAACCCAAAATGTTACATAAGGTGACCTATATTTTGGGGTTTCTGGCCTAATAACTCCGTTAAGATCAGCTACTCAAAAATCTTAATGCAAATAATGAATTTCAGAAGTCAATATTTACTTAACACATTTGGATGGAGCCCCAACAGTTCATTGTAAGGTGTTTCCAGTAGAGCTGGCCATACACTAGTCGATTTTTGAATGAACGTTCATATGAAAAATCTTTCTTTACCACCCGATAATGCCATCAGACACTTGATGTCTTGAATGTCAATTGAAATTTTGTTTGATTTTAACTTTCAATTTTGAATGAATGGAGTTTCCCCAATAAAAACTACATCCGCTGTTAGAATTCCCTGCTTCTTCGAGTTTTTTATCACTACATTCGAAATCGATCGTCGTTTTGACCCCATCAACTAATAGAAAGTCGAACAAACGTTCTTTCTTACAAAGATTATTTTGACAAATCTAAGCAGTGTTGCCAGTTTAAAGCTATAGGTATTCTCATTTACCTTATGGTGCATACTATACAGACTCCGTTTTGATTTGAATAACTGATCTTTAACAAAAGGCTTACTGAAACAGTCTGTTATCTACCATGTATATGGTTTGCTAGATTGTTTGGTCCCAGTACTTTACAGACAATGCCCTCATCCAATCAGATTGTTCAGGTATTTTGAGAGTAAGCGGGGCTGACTAGCAAGATGCTGAAGCTTGGCCCAGTGGGAGATTCCTCCAGCCACACAGGTTAGCGTAGATGGAGGAATCTGTTGCACTTTTTCTATCTGACCATAGAAAATCTGCAGGTAATCTATAGGTGTATGGCCTAGCTTTAGACAACCAAAAACATTTGACGGGATGAGAATGTCTCTACACATAAGAGAATAAAAATGTCTTGCATACATTATAACCGCACACAGGAACCCAGCAACTGAACTGATATTTTTAATGCTGAGTGCACATATCTATATCCTTTGTGACTGTGGTTTTTACTTTTATTTAAATACCCCTTGTCACTGATTTGTGTGCCATGTCCTTTTGTAAAGGCGATCCTAGAGTATTTCAACTCCCAGAGCGATTTTAGGGGCAAATAGACCTGATGTTTTGTTGTATTTATTACAGAAACTATTGTCCGTTCGTATATGTAAGAGTTTTCTCAAACGCCAAGTACTGTCTGCATAGAGCATATAGCTCTTTCATTGGTATGCTTTATATGTCGTGGTTTACATTTATTTGCATACCGTATGGCAATAATATATTATGCCTTTTAAATAACCTAAAGTGAACATTTGGTGTCTGTAGACATTCCCCTGGAACTATTTAAAAAGCCAGAATCTGAGTATTCTGCACAGCAGCGCCTCTTTTCCCTGGCTTTACACCTTAATGACCCACTGTCATATAAATATCTGAGGAAGGAAATCAAGCTGCCACTTCCGGGGCCTAGAAGACTTCGTAAGTGAGTACACTCTTGTTTTTAGGGAACCTGTACTGGCTTTGGGTGAATTCTATGTTTAAACTGATTTGTTTTTAAATTTTACATCTATTAAAGTAACAATAAAGTCAAAAGGAGTTTAAGCAATTTTAAATGCTGATGAAATCACTTGCAATGAATGCTGCTTCTTGGTGTTTAAAAGTTTTAGTTTTCTGTAGAATCAGCTGGTTTCCTGAGCACTGGTCCTGACGTCCTGTATTAGAGTGACTTCTTTCTCAATCTGAGTGCTATGCAGTCACCCTTGTGATTCTTTCTTACAAAGATTATTTTGACAAATCTAAGCAGTGTTGCCAGTTTAAAGCTATAGGTATTCTCATTTACCTTATGGTGCATACTATACAGACTCCGTTTTGATTTGAATAACTGATCTTTAACAAAAGGCTTACTGAAACAGTCTGTTATCTACCATGTATATGGTTTGCTAGATTGTTTGGTCCCAGTACTTTACAGACAATGCCCTCATCCAATCAGATTGTTCAGGTATTTTGAGAGTAAGCGGGGCTGACTAGCAAGATGCTGAAGCTTGGCCCAGTGGGAGATTCCTCCAGCCACACAGGTTAGCGTAGATGGAGGAATCTGTTGCACTTTTTCTATCTGACCATAGAAAATCTGCAGGTAATCTATAGGTGTATGGCCTAGCTTTAGACAACCAAAAACATTTGACGGGATGAGAATGTCTCTACACATAAGAGAATAAAAATGTCTTGCATACATTATAACCGCACACAGGAACCCAGCAACTGAACTGATATTTTTAATGCTGAGTGCACATATCTATATCCTTTGTGACTGTGGTTTTTACTTTTATTTAAATACCCCTTGTCACTGATTTGTGTGCCATGTCCTTTTGTAAAGGCGATCCTAGAGTATTTCAACTCCCAGAGCGATTTTAGGGGAAATAGACCTGATGTTTTGTTGTATTTATTACAGAAACTATTGTCCGTTCGTATATGTAAGAGTTTTCTCAAACGCCAAGTACTGTCTGCATAGAGCATATAGCTCTTTCATTGGTATGCTTTATATGTCGTGGTTTACATTTATTTGCATACCGTATGGCAATAATATATTATGCCTTTTAAATAACCTAAAGTGAACATTTTGTGTCTGTAGACATTCCCCTGGAACTATTTAAAAAGCCAGAATCTGAGTATTCTGCACAGCAGCGCCTCTTTTCCCTGGCTTTACACCTTAATGACCCACTGTCATATAAATATCTGAGGAAGGAAATCAAGCTGCCACTTCCGGGGCCTAGAAGACTTCGTAAGTGAGTACACTCTTGTTTTTAGGGAACCTGTACTGGCTTTGGGTGAATTCTATGTTTAAACTGATTTGTTTTTAAATTTTACATCTATTAAAGTAACAATAAAGTCAAAAGGAGTTTAAGCAATTTTAAATGCTGATGAAATCACTTGCAATGAATGCTGCTTCTTGGTGTTTAAAAGTTTTAGTTTTCTGTAGAATCAGCTGGTTTCCTGAGCACTGGTCCTGACGTCCTGTATTAGAGTGACTTCTTTCTCAATCTGAGTGCTATGCAGTCACCCTTGTGTATGCTAGTAAGCTGTGTGTCTCCACAAACACAGCAAATTAAGCTAAGCTTCCCTCCTTCCTGCTCCCCTCTCCTGCGTACTCCAAACTAGTAGATCAGGGTTGTCCAAACTCCAGCCCTCCAGCTGTGGTGGTACTACAAATCCCATGTGGCATTGCAGGATTCTAACAGCTACAGACACTACTCCCGGAGAGAGATGCATCATGGGATTTGTAGTTTCGCCACAGCTGGAGGGCCGGAGTTTGGACATTCCTGTAGTAGATGAACAGTTGCTGGAGTCCGCTCTGTCCTTTGTGATCTTTTACTGGGCAGGAAGTTCAGGGAAGCCGAGCTGGGAGACTTGGACTTTATTGAAGAAAGGCTTCTGAAAAAGGTGGGAGGGGAGTGAGAGAGGTGTCGCTGCTCTGACACATTCACTTGTGTGTGTGAATTTCCTGTTTCTTGATGAAGGACATAAGGAGAGAGTGGAAAATATGGAAAGTAGCCAATTGTTTAATCTTCATATTCATTGACAGCATTTCATATTTATCTAACTTAAAGGAGAACTATGAGGTGAGTGCTTTTCACTCACCTCATAGTTCTAGCCGACCTGTGACAATGAGACTGTCATAGGTCGGCTCAGTAGATCGGGAGGTGAGCGAACACATACCGGCGTTCGCTCACCTCTCGATCCTGTCACGGCTCTCTGCCGTGGTATACTTTAAAATGCACTTAGCCTAAAAGTTTTATGAATTTTTCCCTTCGCTTTTGTCCAATAATCTACTTTGAAACAGCAGCGTGTATATTATATTTTGGTCTAGTTCCACTTATTGCTGCAGCTGCTATATGAAGCCTTTCATTTCAGCAATTTCTTTTCTGTGTCTAGGTGGCTAATGTCCGACTGTGTGGGACCTGGAATTAATTCATTTGTGATTGAAGCCTTGCTAGAGAAAAAACAATCCCAACCTCCTCTGTATACCCGTGCATGTGTGGTCATGGGCACAATACCCGTCCAACAAAATGTTGTCTTCGATTCGCAGAGAAATGAGTTTGTTGGCTTTGTAAACATGGGAGCAGAAGGATCTGGAAGTGGAAGTCAGGAAGTTGCCAATGAAGCTCTTGTGTTCATGCTTGTCGGAACTGTTGGGCACTGGAAAGTTCCTGTTGCATACTTTTTAGTCAAATTATTATCTGCACAAGCCCAGAAACAACTGCTTTGTCATACTCTGTATGAACTATGTGAGAATGGCTTTGAGGTGGTCGCTGTGTGCATGGAAAGATGTCCACGGAATGAAGAGATGTGCACTCTGCTGGGCTGTACATTGACAGACCCCTGGAACCTGAGGACACTCTTCTCTCTGCCCAATAATGATTTTAAACATTATGTAATGTTTGACATGTGCGATGAACTGAAGACCGTTACTAACATGGTAGAAGACCTTGGTTCTTTACACGGTCCAGATGGAACCATTACATGGCAGTATATCGCTGAATTGATGAATATGCCCCGGTGCTCCAGGATGTTCCCTCAGCTTGCAAAAATGCCCTTACTGGCTAATAAGCTAAGCAATGCCGTAGCAGATGCATTGAAACTGATACAGGAACTGAATTGTAAAGAGTTTGATTATTCACAAGCTACTATCAATTTTATTGAGGTATGTTTCATTGTTTTACTAAGAACTCCAGTTTCATTTAAATGAAACATGTTTTTATGTAACTGAATTCATTCAGTACACCCAAATACCATTTTATTAACAGAGAAAAGCTGCTAAAGCTACCCTGTACCTGACCTGTTACCCTCCATTACATCATGTTGATTGACAGCAAAGCTGCATGTATAGACAACTCAGGAGAAGTCGCACATTAAGAGCCCATCAACTTCTTTGAATTGCAGGAATGTGCAGTTGCAGTGCCATGTCGTGGTGGTCTGGGCTGCAGTTCTGGTACATTGGCTGCTACTAGAACAGTGCAGTGGGTTGGCATTCAAAATGAATGGCACTATGTGTTACTGTAATGCATAAGAGTAAATAAGTCCTAAATAAAAGTGCTGTCAAGAAGTGATTCAATATCTTATAGTGACAGTTACAGATCACCTGTGTAATCTTAATCTAGCCTTGCTGGAAAAGTTCTGGTGCCCAGGGCGGGCTCTCAAGGTGGCCAATGGGGCCTCTGGTGGTCAGTGGGGCTTTCACCTGGGGTCCGGTGTCTTGCTGGTGGCTGCGGGCTCAGCAGATGCGGCTCTCCACTCAGGTGGCTTGCTCCTCACCAGGGCCAGCGAGCGGCCTTCTAACATGCCTGTTTAGAGAGCCACCTCTACCTGAACCGGGCTGGCAGCAGCAGTCCGAGAGAGACCGGCATAGTCTCAGGTAGGGGGCCAGTTGCCCCGCGAATCCACCACTAGGTCTGATGTCTGTTGGTGAGGCAGCTCTGTGTCTGCTCTGCCTGGCCGCTCTGAGAGCCCCAGTTATCAGAGAGCACATAGCAGGCCATCGGCCATAGCGGGCCGGGCTGAGCAGGGCCGAACACAATCAGTATGTGAGGTATCTTTTAGACTTGAGGCATGAATCTTTGCAAAATGCAACATAATTAGGATAAGATGCATAGTTTGCACAACTTGTCATTATCTGTTTTTTGTTTAAAAAAAAAAACATCAATGAATTCTATATGATATAGAAAATGCAGCTTTCTCTGCCATTTAGCTTGTGGCGTTCCTAAAGTTTGGTACCATTTTATTTTTTTTTTTTTTTCCAAAAAAAATTTTTATTCCCAGATAATTGGCCAATTATTCGATATCTTCAATAGCAGCAGTTTGCGGCTCCAGGGTAACAAAGGTGCAATCACTTATTTCAACTTAGAGCAAAAGCTCCAGATCCTTCAGGAGACCCGAGAATATTTACTGACTCTGATGACCAGTGACAGCGATTTCCTTTTCCAAACCTCAAGGTAACAACTATTGCAATATTTTAATATGAAACGTATTTGTTCTGTTATAGCATTATGTCGAAATTCCTGCTTGGTAAACATTGGATATAATTACTGTTTATAAATAGAGGTGGCTTCACACCAATAAGCACCCATTAGGCCTTGTTCACACCGAGCGGGTGCAGAGCAGAGCAGTTGCACACCGGATCAAAACTGCGTCCAATGTATTCCAATGGTATTTTTTGCTCCAGCTCACATCGCAGCGTTCTGATCCAGAGCAGGTGAAAAAACTGCAGCAAGTCCTATTTTACCTGCTCTGGAACACATCAAAAACACATGCAAATGCCTGGAACGCACTGAAAGCCCATGTTAAACTAAAAAAAATATATATATTTTTTTAACCAAAAACGGCCCGGAACGCATCAAAATGCGGCACAACCCACTGCACTGCGTGTGCAGAAACCTGAGCGGATCTGCTGTGCATTGGTGTGAACAAGGCCTTACAACTAAGTATTCGCTCTCAAGTACGAGTACTGATATTTATATTTTGGTACTAGCTGGTACCGGTACTTTGGTAGCATGAAGCCAGCTTCCCGGGCAATCAGGAAGCCGGGCATCATGTCATTACCTGCTGCCTGGCTTCTTGATTGCCCAGGAAGCTGGCTCCATGCTGATTGGCCAGCCAATCAGCATGGAGCCAGTTTTCTGGCCTATCAGGAAGCCAGCTCCATGTTCCCTCACGGCACTGCCAGTCAAAGGAAATCTCCCTCTGACTGGAAGTTCCGCTATTGGGGGTAAGTATCGGAGCATTTGGTCGAGTACGAGTACAACACATATGTTTGCATTGCCCAGAAATTCTATTGTGCGTTGGGGTACGCTGTTACAAAAATAGTGCATGTACCTTAATTGCAATAGGGGGCCCTAATGAAAGCACATTGACAGGTGTGCATTACTACGGTATAGCACAACAGTGTGTACCCGGTCTTACTGGTATTCTTGATCGGTGCTCCTTTGTCCAAAGACATCAATAAATGCATGTAGAAAATATGATTTTTGGATTCGTTGTAAAATCCTTTTCTTTGGTTCCATGGAGGGACAGAAGAATTCAGATACTGCCATCTACTACTGTCACCTACAGGCAGTTTGGACATCAAAATTGTAGGCCAGTCCTGGTATAAATCCTCCTCTAGCCAGCGTGCCTGAGTTCTATAGCAAGTAGTGCCAAGAGCATGGACAAAAACCTGGAGGGGTGGGACTCCAAGAAATTTTGTTTTACTCTGCGCTAAAAACCTAATTTTTCTTTCTGGTTTTTGAGAGACGCAGGAATTCAGACACGGTCAGGACGTCTAAAAACAGTCTAACTGAGGGGTAGGCAACACAACAACAACCGCTAACAAGCCTAATGGGAGAACTGGGGACTGCCTGAAGGACCAGACCCAAATCTAAACTGGCCAAGCCCAAATGAATAGGGAACATATTTTTTGTTGAGCAGAGTGTAATATGGCATGGCACATGCCCTAGATAAGGCACAAACTTCAATGGTGGGCTGGCCAGAGAACAAGAAAGACGTTTTAAAAATGATGGTGTGGGAGCAGGGCACAGACAAGATATCCCGTGGGAATTTGGTAAGAGATTTAAAGCAAAGGCGCATTCATATATATAAATCCTTTTAGAGTTGCTGTTTAATTAGGTGCGGGAGCCACGTCAGTTTCCTTACTCTGAAATAGAAACTGGTGCTGGTGGCGCAGCTAGACCTGAAACACTTCTATCTGCTTTGTTAATGTGACACACACTGCTCTTGTGCTGTTTTGAGCTTTGTTAATTCCCCCAAAGTGCCTACCGGGATTTCCAATTTTAACACTTAAGTTCTATACTGGCTTGCGTTACTCTTCTTGCATCCGTTAATGTTTTGTTTTTTTTGTTGTCTTTTTGTTATTTCTTCTATTTTCAGAGGATGGTGTATTATTGGTCTCCTTGTGAATATTGGTTCTCTGTCTGTGCTGATACCACAGCTGCTGCTAGAACAGGAATGTGTCACCACACACAGGTTCAGCACACATTACCTCAAGAGGTTTTTCAGTAGTTTTAGGACCAAAGGTGAGTATTTTTAAATGAAAACAAGATTTAGATATATTTATATAAACAAATGAGCATGTCACTTACTGCCATCGCTCAGTACGCATTACCTCGTTCATGTTTTATTGAGTTGTAAGGGCAGGTTCACAAAATAGTGTGAACCTGCCCACAGTTTCAGTGCATTCCAGACCAGACAAAATGAGACATGCAGTATTTTTCTGGTCTGGAACGGACTGCGCTGGTGGGAACAGAGGCCAGAAATAGCATAGGGATACATTAGGATGCATTTTGAGTCCGGAAACAATCTGGTCTGGTGGTGATGTGGTGTGAATGGGCCCTTAGAGTCTTAGGCTGGGTTCACACCTGGGCGTACGGAATATGCGCGTTTTTTACTGCGGTTTGCGGTAAAAGAAACACGCTTTTCCGAGGGCTATCTGGCTGTATCCTAATGGATACGTGCGGCAAATACGCCCCAAAGAAGCTCCTGTACGTTTTTGGGCATAGGGCGTTTTTCAGCGCGTTCCTACGCGCTGTAAAACGCCCAGGTGTGAACCAGGCCTAAACTTGGAAATGCTTTACCATTAGCAATCACTTAAACCTAAAGACATACTTGAGTTTTTGTTTAATTTTTTCTGTAATAATACCGATCTTGTATTTGGTAAACATGCTGATGAATTTGTTACATATTATACTCCTGACTCCAAACAATCAACCGCACTCCACTCATCTTCACTGAATAAGACTTTAATTGAAGTTCACAATCACTTGCAGTCCACACCTTCCACCACTGACACGTTTCACCCTCACTGCCTTAATGGATTGTTTGGAGTGAGATATGAGAGCAAAGATGGGCTCATGACCTGCACCTGCTACATTTTAGGCACAGAGACTATAGTGAGAATGAAGGCGCCCATACACTGCACGATTCTCATACGAGAATCATGGGAAATCCCGCGATCGTACGATAATCGTGCAGTGTATGGAAGGCGTGCGACCGTTTCTACTGTACGGTCGCACGACTTTTGTATTTCTAGCATGTTGGAAAACCAGCCGAGAATCGTACGATTTTCGGCTGGTTTTTAGCATGATCCGAGAGATAACTGCCGAACGGGCCGGTGTGCTGCATTGCAGTCAGCGGGGGCTTGCTTGCGATGATCGCAAGTACGATCTGCCTGTCCAAGATGGGCAGATCGTACGTTTTTTAAATTACTTTACAACCCTCACAAGACAAGAGTCTTGCGAGGGTTGTAAAGTGTATGGCCACCTTTAGAGTGGTGATTTTCCATGATATGGGCTACAGATTATACTTCTGGGTGAATTGGAGCAGGGTTTTATCCCCTTGTGTCTGAGCAAAAGTGGTAAATTTCCCCCTACCCATGGTACAGTCCTAACAGAACAAGAGCTTAGAATCCTGTGTGATATTCATTTATCTCTATGGATAATTTATTGGGGTCCCACAGAGCAGGGGAAACCTCTTGAACCCTGCTCCTTGCCACTCCAAAACAGAGAAATCTGACTTGAGTGCAGTTTTCTAAAAAATGGATTTACAGTAGGCCACGTTAATAAAAGTGTCCATATTGGACTTCATTAACCAGTCAGCATTTTAAAAGGAAAAAAAAAACTAAAAGAAAAGGGTGAGGCAATTTGACACATTCATATTGGAGGATGTGAATGTAAAGCAGACGTTTAGCCACACTAGTCAGCAGACAAGCAAATGAATGAGTAACAGGAAGCCAGCAGTTTAGGAGAGCTGTGCACTCTCAGTTGGCCTATTTTGGAAAGCAGCAATGCATTAAAGGTCTGATTTGATGTATAGCAATTCTAATAACGGTCTGTCATTTTAGGTGGATCTGATGTAAGCCCTACAGCATTTGAGGTAAGGTGTGCTGTAGAAAAGCTTTTGTCACAGAGCGGACTGATAAATACAGATTTGGAGACTAAAGCTAACTTTGGAGACACACATATAGATCTAAGTCTCTGTGGCTATGGCCAGAATGTTTCCTCTCCCTTTGCAGACACCAGTATTGAGCTGCCTGATCACATCTATTCATCTAATGTGTTAACGATGGCAGTTAACAATTCTGAAATGTACATTGCAGGCTGGGTTGTGAGGAAAGCCTTTAGCCAGCTGTCCTGTAACAAGTGCAGATGGGCACTTGTGACTGAGCAATATCCACCAGACTTCACCAATGCGTATCACTTACTGCAAGTTAAAGAAGGTACAGCTTGTTTTGTGCCGTCAAATGGAACAATCCGGACTGTGCAAATAGTGGAGAAGGATGTGCATCATATGTTGCATCATGGCAACTCAAAGTCCAGCATATCTGTCCTCATGCTGCAGCACCGAGCGCTACTCATATTGGGTTCCGAAGATATATTTAATCTCCAAGAGCACATAGCACATACAGAGCTGGGCATGGAAAATCATCACTTTCAACTGGTGCGTTTCATTACGTCTATTTATTATGAACTAAGGAAATCCTATATCGATAAAGCAACTGTAGCAAATGAACAAAGAAGACTTGCAAAACAAACTCTTTCTAGACCTCTACAGTTATGATTACCCTCTGCAGCTTAAATAAGTGTTCGGACATATCCTGCTAGAAATAGGCCATCTTGACTTAATCTATCAATTCCCAGCTGCAGACCATGACGGCTTCCCATCTGTCATTAAATTTAGATAAGGCAAGTTTTCAATACTAGGTAAGGGTGGCATGCAATTTTCTTTGGGGGAAACCACAGATTCTGCAAAAAGACTTTCAGTGCAAACTAAAGCTTCTGCTTTACCATTTTGCCTACAGTACTGCAATTACTGCAAAAACATAGTATTCTTCATTTTTCTCCTATGAATAATAGTATACATGAAAGATGTAAAGACATTGGTATCTATTTTCCAAATTGTGTGATATACAGTCTTCATGTTATCACCCAATCCATATCCTAAAGCTAACTACTGCAGTAACACGCATACAGATAGGGTCCAGGATAAATCACAATATGGAAGTGCAGTTTCCAACAGCAAGCGGCCATCAGTTATCATTATTGTATTCAGAACAAAGATAATTTAGGACTGTAGAGATGAGTAGCAGCCATATGAAAAGGTGATTATTTCCAAATATTAATGTAAGGCCCTGTACACAAGTTCCAGAATTGTGAAAGGTATTCCCATGTTTAATGTACTACTTTTCCATTGGGTGAAAAAAAAGTAAAGCACTTAATGTAGAGGATTGACTCAATGAAGTACTTGCCAATCCTCACTTAAACACCCATGCTTTTTACACAAAGACTAACGCTCGGCTCTTACATAGAGTAAGATAGCCCTCATAATCCAAAAATCATGATCCCAAGCACCTTGCACTTACTAGTGTATATGTTCCCACTCATGCAATAGTTTTCACATATAGACTGTCTTGTAAATGAAGAGCGAGCTATTAAACTGTATAATTATTCACAAAGAATTGTATGTTTTACTCTGTAGATTTATTTACATGTAAGCATTCTTACAGTTAAACCTTTAAAATGTACAAATTTGTAAAAATGACAAATCACTCTTTACATTTTATTATACAGTTATCTCTCTGCCAACAGTCAAATCTGTTTCTACCTATTACCGTCTAAGTGAATGCAGAATAATAAAAGAAATTATTATTTGGTTAACTGGTAATTGCATTTAGTTTTGTATCTTATCATTTGTTTTCAACGTTCATGTAACTGCACAGTGTTCCTTGTGCTCCCTCTTCTGTATATAGCAGATAGCATATCAGATTAGTGAGCAAGTAGGACGTATAACATCACACACAGCAGGGAATGTACTTCCTTATGGGTGTATCCTCCGTTCCAAAAGGGTGTTTGACAGTGGGGGTACTGCTGGTTTGGGCGAGGGGCATGAACTGACTGCATGGTGACACAGCATCCTGTATTTTCAAACAAGTAGCTGGATCTGTTTCTGTGCTTGGCATGGTCAGAATGAAGGGGTGCTGGCAAAATCGCCAAGTATTTGGAAGGAATTAAAGCTGTCAAACAGGCTAGATTTACCTGAAACAAAATTTGGGGGCATAACATACACTTTAGAGCAAAACTCCGGGGGGAAATCTTAACCCTTGCAGTAGGGCTACCCCTGCACTGCAACAGTTAAGTGCTTGTTTGTGTCTAGGTAAAAAAGTTATACTCATCGATCCTCTGAACGTGCTGGAAGACCGATCCCTTCCACCTCGCGCCCTCCTCCGCTGCAGCGATCTAAGGATCCTCCTGTCATTGCGGTCCACACAGAGTATAGGACCCGAGGATGCCAAAAGACAACACTATCACTGCAGCGGAGATATAAACAAGGACTTAATCCTTGCAGTGCAGGGGTAGCTCCACTTCAAGGGTTAGGAAATGCTTTCGCCCTGGAATTCTTCTTTAAAGTCCTTTTCACCCAGTTATGTAATATGACGTTGTATAGTAGCTCCAAGATACCTAACATTTAAGAGCTATTAGAAGCAAGTGGGTCTGAGATATAGAAATATAAAAAAATGCTGTCATAGGAAACTTAGACGTAAGGTTATGTAAAGAAGGATGCAAAAATTGAGGCATGGCACTTTAAGGAATTGCTTTAGGTTTTCTGAATGCAGCTTTACACACTTAGATATGAGGCACAATTAATTGATGCTTAGGATAAGGTGAGCAGAGAACTTTGCATTGAAAATGATTATTGCATATGAAAAAGCAGCGACAGCAAAAAATGATGATGCAGCACACTTTGACTATCTAATATGTAAATGTGAGATCTTTGTATGCTTCAGAAGCGGAAAGTAACACCCTTTAACTGGTTGTAACATATTTGCAACATAGATTGAATATGTATATGCCAGATACTATTGTCTTGCCTTGGTGCGCAGTCCTGAATGGTTGAAGCACTAATAGACTTAGTGGTTTCTACTTTATAGAAACGGTAAATTACATGTCATCAAGTAGATTTGAAAATGAGCTTATTAGACAGATCAAACATTATTACAGTTTCATTTTTCTGATGCGCTCAGCAGCGTTCGTCTAAGTGATGCACTCCATGACATGAATCTGCAGTGTGTCCATATCTGGTACAACCTTTTCACACTTAGGACACATATGTACACTTAGCTGCTCCAAGTTCTGTGCTCCTGCAAAAAAAATAACCTGTTACCATTACTAAACAATACAGACAAAGCTCCAAAAGTAGTAGAATTGATGTTTATACATATTTAGTGACAAAAGCATGTTTTTACATTTCTGGTATCTACAAGATATTGGCATTTTTCAGCTGCTGTTGCTCCTTCATGTAAAAGTGTTTCATATTGCTAAACTCCAGTCAGCACTAAAAAAATTACTATGTAGTGCCCTCTATGCTGCACAAGGTTAAATGCTCTTTTCATCTGTGGGAAAAGGTATAAGCAATATTTCTACCAGCTATGGTTCCCGGACATCATCACTTACAAATGCAGGACCAGCCATCCTGCATTGTACGGGAGGACTTAGAGGCCCACCCATATACCAGGACTGGAGGAGGACAGCAGGGGAATGAATAAATAAGGTAGGTATGTATTTCTGCTTATTCCTTTCCCACTAGATGAAGCATTTAAGCCTTGCAAGGAGGGGGGCACTACATAGTCATTTATTTGGTGCGGACTGATTTACAGCTTTAGATTAGATGATCAAAGCATGGTTATGCCTCTTTAGTGACGGTCTACCATTCCAAAAATGGGCTTGGTGATAAAAATCTGAAAAAATTAAGCCTGAAAACCAGTTTTTCTGTTTGCATAAAAATATATATTCACTCAATTTTCATTTTGGATAGTGTAGGAAAGCTTTAGAAGCTCTGGAGGGTTTTGTTTGCTCTGTGTCCCTCTAGGGAGGAGCACTCTTTATTTGTCCTGGTGACCACTGTTACTGGGACTGAAATCAAAACCAAAATAGAGGTTAGTGAAATAGAAAGACATTTTCAAATAAGGACATCCGTCTAGTGACAATTGCCTAAAGAGAGGCTTTCACTTCCTTGGGAGAGATCGCCATTTCACTTCCTACTTTATATTAGGTTGGAAGGAAAAGAACATATCCCCCATCAGACACAGACAGCACAAAAAAGAAGATGGATTTTAAGCTGGTCTTACATAAATTGGATTTTGGACAATTTTTGCTAAATCGGCCGAAATTAGATATGTGGGCAACTGTCGGCACCACCCAGCACAGCAAACTTTGATCTGACATTTGAAGGAGCCAGGTGGAAATGTGTCAGACAAACAATGATTGCAGATAAGTAGATGCAGTTACTGTTAAGGTGGCCATACACTGTACAACCATCGCAAGACCTTAGTCTTGCGATGGTTGTAAAGTGATAAAAAAACGTACGATCTGCCCATCTCGGACCGACAGATCGTACTCTTGATCATCGCAAGCCCGCTCCCCTGAGGGGTGGGCTTACGATGACTGCAATGAGGGGCGGGCTTAAGATAACTGAAAACGGGCTATGTGCGCGTGCGCACACCGGCCCGTTCGGCAGTTGTCGAACCAGCAGGCCACTAACTCGCCGAGAATCGTACGATTCCCGGCAGGTTTTCTAGCCTGCTGGTTCGACGGAAGACGTGCGACCGTACAGTAGAAACGGTCGCACGCCTTCCATACACTGCACGATTCTGGTACGATCGCGGGATTTCCCGCGATTCTCGTACGAGAATCGTGCAGTGTATGGGCACCTTTGTTGGCTGGCAGAGCAGAGTCATCCATTTATGATGTTTGGAGCTCACTGGGGAATCTATTGAATGATCTAGTCTACATGTATGGCCATTTCCAACTCTGCAAAACAGAAAAAAAAAAAACTTTTATTCTTTAACATGCACAGTGAAAAATAGCGGAATATATATAAAACAGATAAGGACTTCATTTAGACATGTTTTCAGCACTTTACCTCTTGGCTGCAGGTGAGGACCTTCTGATGAAGGCACATGGCGTCTCTGAAGCTGCTCTATGGACTGTCTATAAGAAAATATTTTCATTTGTTGTCAGTTATAGAAAATCATGGTTAGCTACACTCTGAAATGGAATAATTCTTCATAAAAAGAAATTACAAAATGGCATGTATACCAATGATAAAGGTGGCTAAATGGGGAGAGCTGTACTCTGCAGGAACACTAGAGTGCTACATGAGTATGGCTCCCAAAGGAATGAATGAAGCCGCGGCATGCATGGACAGGCTGAAGAGGGCCTGGCATGAATGTTTTCAGAAGCAAGGCTGTGCAGCATCGCACAGTAAAGATTGCAAGAGTAAGGATGACGATAAGTATAAAGACCAGGTAGGCTGCATTCGGTGGGAGGCTGCATGCAGTAGATTACAACTTGTACAAAAGATACCGTTGTACTTTAAGGCCAACCTTGCTTATAATACTGTTAAGTATATATACTGTATTTATAACTGAGCTGCAATATCAGATGTCAGCCATATCATATGTGTTAACTTCTTCAAGACTGAGCAACTGCGATGGAGCAAAAATTTGAAACTGCCGGACCCCATGTGTGTCTATGGGGAATCTGATGTAAATGGGCATGTGTCTATTTATGTCAAATTACCCCCGGTCTGGCACAATCTGGTCCATCGAAACGGATTAATGATCTGTTTTACCAGACCTAGCCAGAGCCAGGGCTCACATTCCCAGAACGATCAGAAGCCTGCAACATTGTTTTAGAATAGAAGCATGTAGCTAAATGTTTCTATTCTGAAACATTGTAGAAAAAAGCCAGTACACAAAATCAGGATCAGATCTATACCAGCTGTCAAACAGTGACAGCAGGTGTGGTAAATACAGCACTGCTATCACTGTCAGACACCCGATTCCTAAAAGAGATCGATTCCTAAAAGAGATCGGGTGTCTGAAAAAGCTTAAAAAGGAGAACTATGGGGTGTTTTTCAGTATATTGCGAGCTACAGCTCGCGGTATACGGAGACTGCCGCAGCCGGGACAGATCCCAACATTACTGTCTGGATCCACCCAGCTGCGTGAGTGACACCTGGCTCTGCCTATCTAGAGGCAGAGCCAGCTGTACCCGCCCCCCTCCCCCGTTTCTCCATTCAGAGGTGGAGGATCAGAGTGGGGAATCCCTACAGGGAGGCGTGACTGACAGTCACCGCTCTCTGCAGGGAGATGAGCGAGCGACGATATGTGTTCGCTCACTTCCCGATCTACTGAGCCGACCTGTGACAGTTTCATTGTCACACGTCGGCTAGAACTATGAGGTGCGTGATTTTCACTCACCTCATAGTTCTCCTTTAACTCTTTCATTAATGGATGCCTCAAAACGGAGGCATCTATTAATGAACGGTAACTTCTGCTTCTCAGCGGTTACTGGCATTCCAAAGCCCCAAATAGCTGATCACATACAGTGTACGTCCCCCATCACTTAGGCCCCGTTCACACTGAGCGATTTATCGCGCGATAATTCCCGCGATATTGCGGCTATTTACCGCGCGATATCGCTCTCCAATGCATGGCAATGGGGCTCTGTCCGTCGCTGTCGTGTGTCGTGCGTCGCTACAGCAGGACCCTTTTTGGAGCGGATTTTGCCACGATTTTAGCTTGCTCAATATCGCGCAAAATGCAAATCACGCAATTTGCGAATCGCTCAGTGTGAATGGGGCCTTAGGGGTTATCATGATTTGGCTAGAGCACACTAAGGGGGCAATTCCGTAATGCAGCATGGAGATTCAGCTGAGCTTTGGTGTCATTCTTATGCTCCCTATAAAAATGTACAGGACAGTAAGTTTAATAGCCCATGCACACTAGCCCGGGTGGGCTACTGTGATGCGACAGCTCTTGTGGTGTTTCACACACTGCCAGAGTTGTCACAGTTTACATTTTTTTCTTTTAACTTTATTAGTATTGTGCAATGTGTACACTCCATTTAGGTCCCAACACAGCAGCGCAATGGGCTGGGCTGCAGTGCTGTGACCTGCGGAGGTATCCAGTGCCCTGTGGAAAAATGCAGTATGTTTGCATGGTGAGCACCACCCATAACACCTGTGTACTGGTGTAAACAGGGCATATGGAAAACAATTGTTATATGTGCCCTAGTGGTTTGTCTGCGCAAGAAAAACCCAGGTCACCGCTATAGTGTAAACAGGTCTTAAAAGGAAGAATTATATGCTAAAGCTGGCCACCCACAGCTCGAATTTTCAATCAACTTTTTTGGAAAATTGTCAGTGACTGCAGCCAATCAGCTGCAGTCACTGTCCTTGTTTCCTAGTAGCGGCCCATGTACCAGCTGACAGAATACAATCCACGCTGTTTACCATAGATGGAGGAATCTATGCGTGCATGGCTGGCTGAAGTCTGAAGGCCAAGTTAGCTACTGCTGCTCTGTCTATTAAAATATATTGCAATAATATAATTCATACTATACACACACATTATTTCTTTGGATTTGAAAGTTAAGCTGTTGTTTACAATCAGATCATACCTACCTTCCCTTTAGGGATTCATTTTCGTCTAACATGAGTGCTAGCTGTGTTGCCAAGTCCTCCTTTTCTTGATGAATAGTTTGCCTGGCCTCTCTCTCTGCATGAAAATCAGAACAGTAGAGCTCGATCTAGGATTAGAAGAAGTATACATGAACAGTGCACACTTTACTGTACTGTTTTTATTTGATTCTAGCTTCTACTAAAACTCAAAATGCCTGAAAAGAGACAAAAAAGATGCAAAAGGTTTCTATTCAGCAGTATGTAAAAAAAAAATGGAACTTCCAGGTAAAAGCATGCGCACGTGCACGGCCCTCCCTCCTGTATCTGCTGTCAGTCAAACCTTTGGTGGGTTATGTGAAGGAAGGGGTTTCAGCACAGGATAAGCTGGATGCTTGGGCACTCTATGTATCAGTACATTCTAGTTGCATTCAGCAACAGAAGCGTGACAACACTGCCGTTGCATGCAAGGCATAGAAAGGCAGAAGTCACCATTACTCAGGAAGTGCCCCATTTTATTGTTTTCCCCCAGATACTGCAGACAAAGAATAACTACAGGAAAACTTTTTCTCAACTCTTGCAGTGGGAATACCCCTGCACTGCAAGGGTTAAGTGCTATTTTTTGCCTAAGTTCAAAAATAACATAATTATACTTTTTAAAGAGAAAAAAATATATATTGCAAGACCTTAAAAAAGATATGTTTCCTTCTCATCCATTCAGGGAACTGGTCCACAGTTCTCGTGTTTGTCAGTATCCAAACTGTCCAGTAGGTGGCAGTATAACCCGAAAGGTATCTGAACCCCTGTGTACCTCGTACGGAAAATATATTTTTGTACTCATCATAAAATCCTTTCCTTGGAGTCCACTGAGGGGCGCAGGTCCCACCCCTCTGTGTTTATGATCATTCTCTCAGGACTGCTTTGCTGGGTAGATTAGAATTAGCCTGGGCTGGCCTAGTTTTTTGGTTTTGTTTGCCAGTATCCACTCCCTTGTAGGCAGCAGTATAACATAAATATTTAGGACTTTGTTTCTTGCAACGGGCTCCAAGACAAGGATTTTACTGCTGGCTCTAAAATGCTATTTTTCTTTTTCATGAAGGTTTAGATACTTTAATATATGTTCTCTGAGCTACAGAAGGCATTAAAGATGCTTTCAATCATCCAAAATCAAATGGAAAAGAGGTCTTGTGTATAAATGTTTCTTCAAGTTACAATAGTCATTTAGTGGACAAACATTTTAAAATCCCAAGCTTGTAAATAAACCACATTCAACAGCTATTAATAAAAGGATGGAACAGCTTTTTTAAAGCTCTCTTAAGCAGTCTTCCACTTTGGTCTGAGAATATTGAATACATATCTTAATGGATGTGATAGCTGTAGCTTTAAACAGCTGTTGCTAGGTTAATTAAAAACAAAAAGGGCCCCTGCAAAGAATCAAGTTTAGCCTTAACTTTCCCAATATCCACTGATCTGTATCATATTCCACAGATACAACTAATGAACAAACTTCAGAACCTAACACTGCACTCTGGTTCTTCCCACCTGCCCCTACATCAATTCAGGACCCATTAGTAATGTAGGGGCTGACAGACTGAAAAGAGTCACTTTAAAACTCAGATATTTTACTAAATGTTTATTAAGTGCCCACTGAACATGTTGTTCTTTAGAGTAGTATTTCAAAACTATCATGAATAATAAATGCGTATTTAAAGCAGGCCATGATCCGAGAGTGCAAAGGCATGTTTAATCGGCCAGCTGTCACAAAGTATAAACGTAGCTCACCTGACCAAAATGTGAGTGATGAAGGGAGTGTGGGCTAAAACCACCCAGTGTTGCTTGTTTTGGGGGGTATAGGGACTATAATTCCAAAAGTGAAAATGAAAAGTGGTTCGGCAGTATGCTGCAGTCATAAATGTAAGATTGTCATCAATATGACATGTGTCATGTCAGAGATCAGCACAGTACCGAACTCTGATGTCACAGAAGAACAAGAATATTCCCTGCTTGTCATAGAAAAAGTACAGCACTGCTGTTGCCACTGCATAAAGCTTTAAATCTTTTGGCAATGTCAGTGCCAGTTTTAGATGAGCTTCTACAATGATCAGGCCATCTAATGATAAGGCCATCTAATGATAAGGCCATCTGTCACCTTGCAGACAACACAGCCAATCAAAGTAGTTCTGCTTTACCCGAATATAGCTTTTTACCTGAGCTTTGAGAACTGACATTGTCTCAGCATCTTCCTTGTGTTTGCCGACTTCTTCCTTCAGCTCATCAATCTCTAGCTGTTTTTTAGCCAGTGCCTTCTCACATGCATTCAGCTTTCCCAATAATTGTGTAAACTGAGCTATGGGCACTTTCTCAGCCTGGACAGAAAAGAAAGCACATTCAGTGATATGTAATGAAAAAGTGTCATTTGAATGATTGTTTCATTTTAAGGATCTAAGACTAGAGAAAAGATATCTATGCCACATATGGTTTAAAATGGAGACAATTTGATGTATTTCTGTTTATAGTTTGCAGTGTTTAGCTTTACCACTTCATCAGTTTTATAACCCTCATACACCACTGCTTACTCACCGGCAGACACCCTGATACTGAACCAGAAAATGCTCAGTGCCAGGCACTTCCAGGATCAAGTCACATCAGGAGGAAATTAATGACCAGCAGCTCACTGGGCTCCTCTGCTGGCAAACTGATGTTGTGTGTACAGCACTAATCAGGACTGGAGATTGCAGCAGGGGCGCATTTTCTGTGCTCCTTGTCAATGGATGAAACATTGTACAAGTGACTGAGTTATTCACTCCTACATACTTTAAAAATGTCAGCCATTAAAAACCTGACAGCTGCGGTTAGAACCATGATCAAGCTCCTGAGGTGATCAAGGAAAAACAGCAACTGCTTTAATCTGAGCTTAATAAAAAAAACAATGGAGTCAAATTCAATAGGATTGTCACATAGCCTGCAAAAGGGACTAAAGCCTTTTCTCACATGACAGAGATACATCACATTCAACTCCCAGGCCACCAACCCATTAGACATCATCTACAAGCAGTCTGGAAGTAAAAGAGTATTCTGAGAGGAAGGTATGCACAGTAATGCATTCAGCTGCAGCCTTAGAGCTACAGAACATCTTCACTGGTGGTGACTTCTGCTCTGTTTACTTCTAAAGTACAGTATACACAGTCATATTTTTTTCGTTCAACCTGGGAGTTTAACTAAACAAATATATATAACAGATTCCTCCATCCACGCTAAACAGCATGGATGCATGAATTCCCAGCTGATCCAGGGATGTCAGGTGGAAGGGTGCAGACAGGGGCACCCACTGCACGAACTTCAGATGGTTCATCAAATACCAGCCAAAATTTGCATAGTGTATGGCCAGCTTAACAAAACTCGAATAATAGACACTTGTTAACAACCCCTAACGGTTATTGGGTTTACATCTCCTGCCTGCTGTATTTTACAAACACGTCTGCTCTCTTAAAAAGGAGAACTATGGGGTAAGTGCTTTTCCCCATAGTTCTCCTTAGGGTAAAGGGAGGACACAAACTAGCGTCCTCCCGTCACCCTAGGCTCAGTATACCGCGAGCTGTAGCTTGCGGTATACTGAGACGCCGCAGTATACCGCAAGCTGCTGCTCGCGGTATACTGAGACGCAGCTGAAGCAGATCCCGGCAGATCTGCCCAGCTGCGTGACTGACAGCTGGCTCTGCCTATCTAGAGGCAGAGCCCGCTGTACCCGCCCCCTCCCCCGTCCGTTCCGCCAGTCAGCGCTGGCGGATCAGAGCGGGGAAGGGGGAATCCAGCCCCTCCCCTGTCACGGCAGAGAGCCGTGACAGGATCGAGAGGTGAGCGAACGCCGGTATGTGTTCGCTCACCTCCCAATCTACTGAGCCGACCTGTGACAGTCTCATTGTCACAGGTCGGCTAGAACTATGAGGTGAGTGAAAAGCACTCACCTCATAGTTCTCCTTTAATACTGTTCCATGCCGGGTACATAGTTTACATCTCCTGTCTGCTGTATTTTACAAACACGTCAGCTCTCCTAATACTGTTCCGTGCCTGGTACATAGTTTACATCTCCTGTCTGCCTAATTGCGACATTTGCATTTACACTGTCCAAGAGTCAGCGAAAATAAGTTTTTGGTAAAGTTCATGTAGTTAAACACAGGTGCACTGTGCTCAGTGAACCTTCTGCTTCTTTGGGAAGATAATTTCTAACATGAAAGCTGCAAACACTCAGCAAGATAGGCTTTATCCTCTGGAAGCAAAGTTGTCATGTTTGATTGAGATCATTTACTTCTGACATTCCCAAAATAGCAATACTAGGAATATACATTTAGATGGTGCGCTGCATTAACGCATGTTTTTTTTCAAGTGTTACCATGTGTGGTGTTAAAGCAGCCCATGCAAATGAATGATGTGCCAGAAAGGACCAAAAATCAGACATGCACCATTTTCTTTCTGCTGTAACTATGTTACCGTAAATTGTAGTGTGCTGCAACGCTTAGGTGTCTGTCAGGAAGCTAGAACCAGTCCTTACTGCTGAAGTTTTGCATGTGCCTGAGCATGGTTTTGGCTCCCAGAATTGTGCACAGACGTTTGCCTCTGCGCAGGCATGTCTGTATGCGTGTCTTTCTGGCACCCATACCACTCCTTGTCCTTGCACGCCTTTTCCACTCTCAAGGGATATTTGGACTGGATCAGCAAGAGAGGCCACCTTCGCCGTGGTCAGCCCCCCAAAAGGTGCATGACAGTATTGGAGATGGAGTAAATGTGCTAGGGTGCCGTTAATAAAGAATGGCACCGCAACACACTAACGCAGGTAATGTGCACGTTCCTACAACACCCCATACTGCAGAGGTTTCATTGGGCCCTTTACATATTGGTACAAATCAGAACGTAAAGATCTGGCAAACTACTGAGTGTCAAGAGATCAAAGTATATACTATAAACAGAAACATTTCATAGATCATAATGAAGGCCCAGTGAACAGATATGAAAACATGCATCATATATTCACCTCCGCCTTTACCAACAACTCGTAGTCACATTTCTGTTTGTCAGACGATTCCTGCAGAGCCAACATCAGCCTCCTTTTTGAAGAAATGGGAACAAAGTCATTTGTATATAATATAAGACAAACACAGGAAAAGTAATGCACGATGTTAATTCATCCAGTTTCACTAAACACAGTATGAAACTGAAATAAAATGTTAGATAATCCAGTGCCTGCTGGTAAGAGATTGAATAAGTTTATACAAAGGCGTAACTAGAACCTTCAAGGGACCTCAGGCAGCCGCTTGTTTAAAATTTTAGTGCGGTGTTCTATCAAGAACGCTGACCCAGTATCTGCTCTTACGTACAGACGGGATTGCCAAGGAAACCGGCATTTATTTATAAAGTATTCGTCTGTAATGTTTAATTGTGACCGTTAATAATATACCGTCCATGGCAGTAAATGACGGATGGAATATTATTAACGGTCACAGTTAACGATTTAAACAAAATACTTTGTGAATAAATCCCGGTTTCCTCGTTAATACTGGTCTGTGCGCAAGCGCAGATGCTGAGGTCGGCAAATTCAACTACGTCGGCGTTCGACAGAACACCGGTATCTTCGTTTAGTATCGGGGCATTTTCACGAGTATGAGTACTTGTGAAAATGGCCAGTATTGGCACTGGTGCATCCCTACTTAAAAATATAATGCATTGCTGGGACTTTTAGCGCTACATAGTTGGTGCTATTCTGAATTGCTGTATAATAATCATACAGCAATGCACAATACCAAAAGCTATGCGGGACTACAAGTCCCAGCAATACATTATAATAAACGTCAGCTATGCAGAATACCACCAGCAGCCCCCCCAGCCCCACACACACACTTTCTCGCGCCCCCCCTTTCCCACTCTAGACTTACCTTCCGTCTCCTGCAGGGCCCTCTTCCTCGTCTCCGCGACCAGGGCTATGAGGGTCCGTACACCAGAATGTGCTGCCCGGCAGTGCCTGCAGCACATTCTGTGGCACCAGCGACAGCCTCTCCATCCCTGCTGCACAGCCGCCCTTACATGCTGCAGGTAGTAGTGCGGCAGGGAAGGAGCGGCACGATCTGCGGGGGCCCTCTTCTTCCTCACTGGGCCCACCCCAAGTGGCGGAAAGCAAGGGCCCGGTCGCAATTGCGACCCCTGCGACCCTGGTAGTTCCCCCAGTGCGTTTATATATTAGTTTATCCATTATACTGAATAGACAGTCATTGGTTTGAACTTGCCATTCCAGGACAGAGCACGCTTACTTTTGTTCTTTAGTTTTGCTCTGCTCCATTCTGATTTCCGACTTCAAGCTCTCCACTTGGAGCTCCAATGTCTGGACAGAATATAGAAGCGTCTGTCTCTCATCTACTTCAACCTGGTTATCTGCAAGTTTCTTATCAAGAGACAAATATCTAGAAAGAAGAAAAAAAATATCATACAGTATATAGCAATTCCTTCTGGAACTGTATATCTAAAGTATATGAGTATAGATAGAGGTTTGCTCCTGTATTAAGACAGCGCTAGCCGTATTAGTGCGGAGAAAATATCCCAGCATGCTGAAATATTTAACACATTCAAAAAGCCAATACACATCCTTGTGTAAATGTGTTAGGTTTGTGAAAATATCCTCGTTAATGTACTAGTATGACAAAATCATTTGGGCTCCTGCAGACTGGTGTCTCTATAAGCTGCCAAGTAATTTGTGCCATTTAAAAAAAACACTACTAATCTTTCAGGTTGAGCAAGCAAACCATATAAGCCTAAACATTATTCATCAGCATGTTAATAAATAGATAAATCCAAGTATAGAATAATAAAAAACATCTAGCTCTTATATACTTCATTATATGCTAGAAAAATATATATCAGCACTCCAAATCACAAGATGCCATATGGCCCTTAATTCAGCTATGTAAAAATCAATACATTAGTTCTCTTAAGCCCATATTCTAATATTTGATGCAATACAGGACAGTGATCTTTAAATAATTAAGCATTATGACATTTTATGTTGCCTTCAGAACTGCAGAGCACAGAGTCCTCCAGAGAGATCTATTGAAGATTTCCAGACTGTATTTTTCCTCCTTACAAAAGGCTTGAAAGCCCAACAAAATAAGTGGCTTAAATAATAACAGTCCATAATAGAAGTCACCAGCGCTCTATGTGCAAGAAGTAAAGCACTTTTTATTAAATCGTCACATACGTCAAACAGCCAACGTTTCGGGGCCACGTAGGGTCCCTTCTTGTGGGCAACATAGGGACGTTGGCTGTTTGACGCATGTGATGATTTAATAAAAAGCGCTTTACTTCTTGCACATATCATCGAGTGCTGGTGACTTCTATTATTGTCTGCATCTGACACAGCGCCATCCGTGTTGTCACTTCAAGCACCAACCTTTCATCCAAGGTCTGTACGCTGTATGTAGTGCAGGTGATTTCGTATTATCGATTAAATAATAACATTACAGATGTTAGAGCCAAGAGCTTGGAAGAACTACATTTATTTAATCTGTAATTCTAGCTAAAGCGTTTTAACGTATTCCAAATCCATACTTAACTAGAAGAAGTGTCTGGTTTAAATTTAACCTTTGTGGCACCATTTGGGAGATTCTACCTCACTTCCTGCACTGGTGGCAGAACAGGAAGTGTGTGGACAGTATGCAAAGCAGGCAGTCCAGGCCCCTTGTATTAAAATAGTGGCAAGAATGTTGGGAATGCAGTTTAGAATTAAAGGGAAAAGAGCTAGAAAGAGAACGCCTTACAGAAGTGAGAGGTTCCAATGACATTAATCCAGGTAAGGGGAAAGAAGAAACTGGCAGTACAAAATGTCTCCTTAATTTCCCCTGACTTCAAGCTGCCAGCTTTTACAGGGTGGGTGCGGCAGGAAGAGCGTAACATCACAAAAGCAGACACAGGGATAATAGCATTTAAGGAAGGTATTGCAAGATTTCTGCCTGTAGTACAGCAGAGACAATACTCTACAGCAAGCTAACATATTTAGTTTAATGACACTGTATAACCAAATATTTCTCGTAAAGTAAATGGATATCAACTATAAAGCAATAAAAGCTTCCCTGGCTGAACATGGACACTTTAAAATCAGTTTTAGAGTTCAATCAGTTTTAAACAAAATATGAAAGCTTTAGGGCCCACTGCTATGCGTTACTGCAACACACAAAACAGTGCAGTGTGTTGGGGTGTTATTCATTTTTCAATGGCCCCCCAATGTACCTAGGCAGAGTAGTATAATGCACTTGGTTAGTAGTGCACTGCAACACCCAGATGTGAATTATCTGTGTGTTGTGGTGCACTGCTTAGTAAAAATGCTGCACGTCCAATAAAATAGGATTTTCAATGTGTTGGCATCCTGTTCAAAATGAATGGACTGCTTTATGGCATCACACGATAACACGTGTGGAAAAAAACACTACAACAGTATGAACGTGGCCCTAGAGGTTTCCCTTAAGCCAACTTACTGCATGAGCAAAACATGTTTTCTGGATTCCTCAGTAGTACTTGTAAATGCTCGATAGTGTTGGCCGTCTATCATTATACGGGATCGCATGAGCACCAAAGTCCCTAAACCAACCTTAATTATCTCTCGCCTATAGTTGAACATCGTTATATCTACCTGTCTTGCAGGTTATTCTTAATCTTCTGAGCCTCGTTTAACTTTTCATTTGTCTCATAAAGTTCTTTATTGAGCACTTCTACTTTCTGTTTTAGCATCTCCACCTCCTTATTCAGCTGAAAAACAGAATTAATGTCATTTAAATATAGTAAATGAGATGTAGAAGGCACCTTCGCCACCATGAACACATTAGAAACATACATTCACTAGTGATAAAGAAAGTTCATATTGTTATATACCCTGAGTAATAAACTTGGGGAATATATGCAAGGTATGGGCTCTATAGTACAGAATAATCGGGACATGGGCTTTTCCAGACCAACCAGGTAACCCTTTACTTGCTAAAAGGTTTGTGTTAAAAATACAAAAAAAACAAAACAAGCAAAGTGGTCAAACACAGCCTCTTAGTGAAGCTAATGCTACGCATTCAGCAGATGGCCTGGTAGGTATCTTAAAGCATAACTTTGCTGTCTTTACAAAAAAAAATGAACACCCTTTCTCTTGTCACCCATCACTTTTCTCCCTAATGCAGTGCTGGAGGTGCCGGGGATCATGCAACTCCTGTGTGCATGTGCAGAAGTTACATCACAAGTGGCCATTCAATGGCCGAAAAGTAGTGAAGGAACTCGGAAGACTACAATGAGGATGGCGGTGCCTGTGGACGGAGCAGTGAGTAACAGCGAGGGGGACAAAAAGGCAGGCGAGTCTACCATAATGTGCAAGTATGTTGTGCAATACAGTACTCTTAAAGTACAAATAAGTGACCGCTTATACTGGCTACCAGAGCTCAGTCCCAGACCAACCTCCGCTCACACATACTGAGCGCGGCACGAATACGCACGGTTTCCGTACATCTTCAGGTACTACTCTAGGCAGAACGCGCAGAAGTTGCCCAGAATATTGCACTTGTACTTTTTTGCGCAATGCGTGTTTTCGTGTCACACGTATGACGCGCAGGGGTGAACAAGGTACATTAGAATGTATTTGTTTTTGTGTTTTACGCAAATGTGTGAACGGAGCTTAAGCTACATTCACAAGGGGCTTATGCGGAAAGAACCTACGGATTCTAGCGGCATGAATCCCAGGTGTGCTGGTTCAGATGCGGTCACTGTGCCCGTTCAAGTTAATGACAGAGTGACAGTAGCTGCATCTGTCCGTGGCAGCTCATGGTATGGACTGGTGTAGAAAACACTGGATCTTATACATGAAAACCAGGTTGCTATGGGTTACAATAATTTTTGCCATATAAACATGCGTTTGATAGGTTGTAAGGATGATGCACGCTACAGTTCTGACTGTGTGACATATACGGTCCATAATTTTCAGAGTTTACTTACAAGTTCTGCAGCTTGTCTGTCTTCATCATTTTGTTCCACTATTGGATCAGTTTCTGTTTCCTTATGTATGTAATGTGATGATTTATTTTCAAGATTTGCCAGTCTAAAACACACAAAATACATTTTAATAACAACAACAATTCTTTAAATGGAGGTATACATAACTTTAAAGCAGCTATTAAAATGACACTAAACTCAGGAGTAAAATCTTAAACATGCATTCAAGTACCTTAACTATTAACAGAAATGTATCTTATTTTTGCATTACTTCTGTGCATTAGATCCTCAAATCTTCTCTAAATTCCTGCTGACACTGTCCTTCCTTCTGGAAGGTGGCTACTTTTCTTCCCCATGGCCCCTGGGTGTGTTGTAAAGTAACCCCTGCTCCAAGCTCACTCCTGTGATGGACTACAAGCTCACATTTAGTTTACAAATGTGTACTAACATTGTAGTCTATCACAGGAGTGAGCTTGGGGCGGTGGCTACTTTACAACACACACAGGGACCATGGGGAACAAAAGTAGCCACCCTCCAGAAGGAAGGAAGGCGTCAGCACCAATTCAGAGATGATTTGAGGATCTACAGGCAAGTGATACACAAATAAGGTACATCATTTTAAATTGTTGCTTTACTTGAATTTATTTTGAAGGTTTAACTCCTGAGTTTAGTGTCACTTTAATTTGTTATCACTATTTGTTTCACTCCAGTTCATTTGAACTGTGACTTTTATACACAAACCAGAGTTAGTTTACAAGGATCAGGAAATGAAAATATTCCACTTAAAAAGGGTCTGTCCACCCTTAAATGATAATTAATCTGCAGGCTTCTTATCTCCTGGGGACACTGATGACAGTTGCCCATGGATTCAATGTTCTGCAACCATAAACAGAAGCAGAGCTAGGAACTCAGGAAGGGAAATGTTCAGTTGGGGGGGTCTTTAAAGAATATAAAAAAACCCTATGAAGATTCAACCCACCAACATCTACTCAGTTTTAAGATGACTGACCAGTTCACTAGCTTGCACAATTTACAATTAGACTGCTGGTAATAAAATGCTTTCATATTATTTTCTGAGGTTATATACATATGAGAGATCACCAGTTATCAAAAATGCTTTGTTATCTTAATGATCAATTAAATATTCTTAATAAGTTTCACAGTCCTACGAGAAAGCCCCACTTCCTGCCCTTCGATAGTAATTAGAAGAAGCACTGATCATCACTGTTATTTTCCAGCCAGATGCGGACTATGCAGAGCTGTGGCTCTGTCGACTGCCTCCCTTATAAAGTAGCGCATAATTACATCTTTGGTGTGTAACTGTCTACTTAGGAGGAGGGGAGAGATATAAAGATATCAAGGTAGGAACCTATAAGAATAGAAATATAGCAGTTGACCATGGCGACTTGTTTTTGCAGGCGCCAAGGCTATCATCCTGATCCTGGCTTCAGTCTTTTCACACTTGACTGGCTGCATACTTGTTCCAGATTAGTAACTCTTTAGCAAGTAAAACAAAGTGCAGGATGACACAGCTGGATCCTGCAACTCTCTCATTAGTAAAGAAAAGTGCAGGAAGACACTACTGAATCCTACACCTCTCTAGCTAGTAAAACAAAGTGCAGGATGGCACCACTGGGTCCTGCACCTCACAGGCCAGTAAAGCAAAGTGCAGGATGACTCAGCTGGATCCTGCAACTCTCTTATTAGTAAAGTAAAGTGCAGGAAGACATTGCTGGATCATGCATCTCCCATGCTAGCAAAGCAAAGTGCAGGATTACACTGTTGGATCATGTACCTCTCAGGCTAGTAAAGAATAGTGTAGAATGACTGGATCCTGCATCTTTAAAAGCAAGTTAGCAATGGCAGCTTCCAAAATTCTGTCCTCATATGTTCACTTTAAACCTGCTTATGTTAAGGTCTAGTGACTGAATTTATTTTCCTTGTCCAGGAAATACAAATAGTACCAATTATTAAAACTAGCAGAACTTTCTTATTATATAATTCTCTACATTTACATACTAAATCTCCGATAGCTACAATCCAGACAAGACAAAATGTAAAAGAATTCATAAATAAGTCTTGTTGGAATTACTCAATTATCTAGTGTGAAAGCTCACCATTGCAGTGCACATTTAATTATACCATTACACAAAAGACTAAGAAAAGCTTATTTAGAGTTCCAGTGTAATACACTCCTAGTAAGCAGACACTGGTAATCAGTACACAGGAGAGCCACATGTAATAAACTTGTTGATGGCACTCAAATGTATGAGCATTAGGACTGTAAAATCTGGTAAAGCAGGCACTGACTTTGCTGATATGTTTTACAGCATTGTGTACTACATTTAGCTATATAAAATTACAGTAATATTAATTCATAACAAGGAGTAGTAGTTAAATGAAGTTAGAATTAAACTTTTTTTTAGTTTTTGGATAAAGTAAGAGAGTTATAGCCTCTGTCAGGTTTTTGTCTGCCATCCGTGTCCCACTTTGTAGATTTTTCCTTCACTTCCGTGTCTCACAGTTACAACAGGAAGTGAAAGGAAATCCCTCCAGAAAGGAGGTAATTCCCTGATTTCCCAGGGTCACCAGAACCAGTGTGCCCATTAGAAAACGTCCCCTCTATTCCTGTTCTGGTGACTCAAAATGTATCAATCTAACGAAGACAGAGACAGCAATAAAAACCCGATTCCACTCCCTCTCCACTATCCAAAACAACAAAAAGGATTTGGGCTTCAGTTTTACTTTCATACCAATTGCAGAAGTCCCTTCAAAACCAAAAAGTAATAAAAGTGACCACCAAAAGCACTTACGTCTCATTTGCATTTGCCAACTCTCTCTGAAATCGTTCTACCTTTTCACTTTCCTCACGCAAGCTATGAAGAAGTTTGCTGACTGCCAGTTCTTCCGATTCTTTGCCATAGCTCTCTTCATTGGTAGATGTTGTCCTGTCATGGTAAATATTACTATTCAGGTATTCTCATACAATTGCTGCAAGTATTTCAGTCTTATGACAATTTAATGGGTAAACTGACATTATTGTGGAAAGTATAGCTATTAAAATTGATTTTGCACCTCAGTTTGCAGCCATCCGTGATTTTCGATGACTGGCAAATCACATTAAAATCCCTCTTCTCTGAACAATTGCAGCTCAATACACTTTGTAGTCAAGATTTTCCACAAGCCTCACAACACTGCACATGCAACAGAAACGCTACCTCTCATACAGAACGGCATTCCAGGGGTGTAAAACTCAATTTAATCGTGGGCCGCATCAACATTATGGTTGCCCTCAAAGGGCCTGTAAAACTATATAAAATGTATCTAATCTTTATCATAATTGCCCCTGCATTCGATTATCACTGGTTTTAGTAATAACTTAATACCTAGATCTGAAAGTAGAAGTCTAGGAAATGGCCTGGTGGGTCGGATTCGGCCGCTGGGCCTTGAGTTTGACACATGTGCTCTAGGTCAAATGACATATAGCTTGTATGAAATATGGCATCCCAAGCTTGCTTTTAGATGTATAAGAAGTAAAAGTCCTAGTGCAGCCAATCCTATTATTTAATCAAACCTCCTAAAGTTTACCTTGTTTAGTCTGCAATAGAAAAATCAGCCAGTTACATTTATTTTCACAGAGTGCGAACATCTAAAAGCATGTTGGAGCTGAAACATGATGTACAAGTATGTGTTAACATAAAAGCTCTAAATTGTCTCTCATTGTGAAATCTTTTAGCAGTGTTGTGGCTTACATTTGCTATCAAAAGAAATGGGAGTGGGCAGGAAACTGTAATAATGTCTGCTAACATCATTGGAATATATTCAGATGACTTCCATAAACAATACCACATTTTTACCCACAGTACAGAAGAACTTCAGTTGTACACATGCAGGTAATCTGGACACAAGTGAAAGATCCAAGTCTATAACATTGTTCATACTTCTTTCCCAGCTAACATTGCCTCTGCTGCACTTTCAGGAATAGTTTTTATAGGACGTACAAAATTGTAGGTGCACTCGATATCGCTAAATTACTCTATGTAATAGCAACATGTAAATAAACTGAACCCTGATGTTTAGTTTAAGATTAAAAGACACAGATGAAGTATATGAGCAAGAAATAAAAGTGAAAAGGTAATGAAGCTGGCAGAAGTTAAATTGCTATATTTACAGCTTTCAGCATATACAACTTGAGTAGGATCTGCATTCCTACATACTGTACACATACCTATATGTAATCATTTCCGGGTCTGATGGGTCACCCTCTGCCTTTCTCTCCTTCACCTCTGCTTCAGTTTCTTTTCCCTAGAGCATGGATAGAGGAATCACAATTAAAAAGGGATAGTCCACCTTTGTGAGCGTTTTTTTATATAACACACATATATAGGGTGTAACATGAACACATTCCCCA